TATATGTATATATGAAAAATATATCAAAAATGTATGTGGGTACTCAAATGAAAGCTCTTGATGAGTGTAACATCGGTATGAGTTTATATCTTAAAAAATGTCAATATTTAAGAAAGTACAGAGCAATTTTACAAAAGTACTCAAATAATGCAAAATTTTAATTTTTTATAGTTCACAAGTCACGAGTTGCTAGTTTTATTATTAAAAATTCATGAACTTTATAAACTATTAAAAATTAAAAATAGCAAAAAAAAAATTCAGAGATGAATAATGTAAAATAAATCCCTCGATAACCTTAAATAAATGTTACTTTTATAAATATTAAAATTTTTTCCAGATCAATTTCTTCTTAGAATAATTTCAAGAAATACTCTTGCATATATAATATCCATAAAATAAATATTTTGATAATATATAAATGTTTCATTATAAAAGATAGATAACGTATCCCGGCCCTCGGTGATTCAGGTAGGTAATAAAAATAAAAATAAACGGCGTATTCTTAATCACAAAATTTAAATCTCGGTTTTATATAAATTTCTTCTTCCCATCGTAACCTTGATTACTATTTTAGGTTGGCTGTGTCTGTTTAATATCGGTGGTAACTTTTAAGACTTTAATTACCGACTGTATTTACTTGATTCTCGTGACCTGCCAGAAACTAGTGAGGGTATATGGATCAAGATCCGAGAGGAGTTTGGGAGCTTCGAGGATAAATGAGCTCGAGTTGATCGCAACATTCCGGAGATTCCGTCTTCCCAAGATCAAGATCCTTTTAATGGTGATGTTTCCCCGAAATTCCAACTCATTTTATCTCAGTTATTCTACCAGGAAGTCTGACGTCTTAACTACGACATTTATTAATTATAATTTACCTCCATGCCGGTAATTAAGGAGATCCAAATACCGTCCTAGTGTAAAGAATGTCTATAAAAAAATAATCCGTAGAAATACTTTTGTTATGCATCTTAAAATTAATTTTTAAATTAATTAATAATATTTTTGAGGAAATTTCTGAAAAATTTACTCATTAAATAATTATTAACATTTAATTGACTAATAAAAAATATAGCACTCTGAATTACCGGTATACACTTAACAACACCGCAAGAGTTCTCTAACCTTAAAATTTATTTATGTTTACTGTCTAACTAAAATGACTAAGATCTTCTAGCATTTAAAAAACCGCGGTTACTTATGCGCCGAGTAACTGCACAAGCGGTGTTGCCAAGTCAAATACAAGACTTTAAAGAACGTAAGTTCCGAGTGATTTTTCATAAAAAATATAAAATATCTCCGTAATACGTTCGGAAAGCTACTTTTTTATTGTTTTAATCTTTAGCTTATTATTTTTTCAATCAAATTCTATGAAAATAAAATTTTTTTTAAATTGTTAATTGCATTAAATCCTTAACCAAATACACGGCTGGTGGAATCTCCATTTTACATGTAATGTAAAAATTACAATTTTTCAACCTAATTATTTGATTAAATATCCCGGAAACTTGTTTTTTAATTTTTTTATTAATTATTAGGCTATGTAGATTGAATTTACAAATTTTTAGAAAGTTTTAACAATATGACTACTTCGCGTGGATCTCCTTAAATACTCAGTTTTTAGAATTCTAACTATGAGAGCCGTAGCCACCTAGGGGAATTTTTTTAAACTAACTTTTTTATCCGATTTATTTTTTATTATTAAGGAGATCCAAGTACCCTCCTAGTATAAAGAAATACCTAATTATATCATTAAATATCCCGAAAACCTGTTTTTTAATTTATTTATTAATTATTAGGCTAGGTAAAATGAATTTACAAATTTTCAAAAAGTTTTAAAAATTTGACTACTTCCCATGGATCTCCTTAATTTAAAATCAAATTTTTATTAAATCTCACCTAGATAGTGTTTGTTACAGCTTGCACATCTTTTCAAACTGACACTCGTCTTCTTCATCAGGATATTTATCTTGCATGACCGCCAGCGGACAGGGAGAGTTTTTTGGACACCCAGGAAGATTTACGATTCGCTCTTGATGCATGACTAAAATACTGGGTGTTTTTTTATTTTCTTCTGCTACTGATTCCTTCGAGGACTTTATTGGCTCCTGTGACTGACAGTCGTAGGAAACAAATGCCAAGTTTGACGCAAAAGCGTCGATAAGACTCACTCGCCACAAGCGGTCTTTTGATGAATTGTAGGAGTCGTGAAGAAGCGGGTTCGGGTCCCTTGCTATTCCCAAAAGGGATAAGAGTTTTAAAATTGTTCCTGAGTGCGTGAAATACGCTGATACCTTTAATTCGTCGTCGTTACTGTAATAAATCATTGACATTGATAATTATTTTTTAAAGAGATAGCCTTTTTAAGGTTTCATATCTGATAAGTATTTAAGTTGCATTCGAATATACTCTATCTCTAGATACATAATTAAAGAAATGACCTTGTATCTTGTGAACTATTGACATTTTTAACGATATAAGCTCACCCCGATGTTACACTTATTAAGACCTTTCATTTGAGTACCCACATCAATTTTTCATATATTTTATATATTTATATATTTCAGAAATACTATATATATAAAATATATAAAAAATACCATGTGGGTACTTAAATGAAAAGCCTCCATGAGTGTAACTTCGAAATGAGTTTATATTTTAAAAAATGTCAATAATTAAGAAATGACCTTGTATCTGGTGAACTATTGACATTTTTTAAGATATAAGCTCATCCCGATGTTACACTCATCGAGACCTTTCATTTAAATACCCACATCAATTTTTCATATATTTATATATATTATATATATGTATATATGAAAAATATATCAAAAATGCATGTGGGTACTCAAATGAAAGCTCTTAATGAGTGTAACATCGGAATGAGCTTATATCTTTAAAATACATATTATATATATATGTATATATGAAAAATATATCAAAAATGCATGTGGGTACTCAAATGAAAGCTCTTGATGAGTGTAACATTGGGACGAGCTTATATATTTAAAATACATATTATATATATGTATATATGAAAAATATATCAAAAATGCACATGGGTACTCAAATGAAAGCTCTTGATAAGTGTAACATCAAGATGAGCTTATATTTACAATTATCTGTTACTTTAGTTAAAAAAATTAACAAATAAATATATTGTTAAAAACTAAAAAAATAAATTTTTAACTCAATTTTAAGATTTTTAATGTTTAGAAAAAAAAATTGAATAAAAAATTTATGACAAATAAAAAAGATAAAATAAAATAAAATACTCACTTTAAAAACTTAAACATATCCCCAATAGCGGTACACGCATGCTGATACGTCAAAGGATATCCGTACCCATCAATCCAATAGTACTTAAGGTCATGACTGAATTCCATAATCAGAAATTCATCCGGTGATAAAAGCTCGCACCAGGGAGATTTAGAATTCTCATTCCAGGCAGTCTCAAACGCGCACGTTGCTCGAATTGATTTCAGTTTGTCTATAAACATTAATTCCAATATATTAACTCGGGTATAGATTGATCTAAATACCTCATTGTTCAAATAATTCTATTTATAGCCGCGCAGACAATATAACTACGCAATATATATATATATATATATATATATATATATATATATATTGCCGTTGTGGATAGATTCAATCACATAATCACTATATAAGTAATTAGAATTACTAACCGAAGTCAACGGTCACACCGAGCCGATTAGATAAATTCTTAAGCGTTTGAATCATCACCGGAGAAGAACTAAATTTTTCAACTTCTGCGTACGCTTTAAGGTTGTCGTCGACATCTCTTTGCCATTTATCGCATGCTTTGTAAAACTGCAATTTTTTTATAATTAGTCAATTGTAAATTATAAATAATTTTTTAAATTATCTTAGTAATAAATAAATACTCTTAATATTCGATCTTTTGCATCAACTGGTGGATATTCGACGTCAGAACTCCCTTTTTTTCCGAATAAACCTATTGTAAAATTTCCAGCGCTTTCTTTAGTTCTCTGTCGGTCTGTAAATTTAAACTAAAACAAAAAAATTGAAGTATTTCATTAAAAAAAAAAAAACAAAAAAAATTAAATTGAATTATGAACAAAACATTAAAACATTAACTGGATCGCTTTCTAATTAAAAATTGTTCTTTTGACAGAAGAAACGCCATTTTCAGGTACAAGTTAATGTTTAGAAAGATACTAGAGCCGCCATCTAGCGGAACTAGTGGAACACACTATTAATAAACAGTTCCGTGTTTGTTATGATCCTATATAAAAAAAGTTTGAAAAATCCAAAAGTGCACGCCTCATAATCTCATTTTTCACAATAAAATTTATTAAAATAAAATATAAAAAGCAAAGTAATAAAAAACGAAAAACTCTGCTATGGTTTAGTGGCGCCATAATTCTAAGGTGAGGAAAAAAAATACTACAATAAAATGTATAGATAGATATACAAAAAAATTTCACAGCCATATATTAGTTTTTTATAAATAATAATTTAAC